AGGTGTGCCGTGATTGGCCAGCTATCCAGTGCGTTGTGATTGGCCGAATACCTCAAGCGTGTGACGGAAATGTTACGCCCCTTACCATATTGTGATGATGCCCTGTCCGGCCGGAGCGACGAGACAAAAACATGAAAACCCATTATAAACGAGGCATTTGTTGCATCCAGTGGGGACATAATTATGGATTATAATGGAAGGGACACCACGTGCTAGTCCGCTCAGACAGCATGACAGTGGTGTCCTATATAAATCACCAGGGCGGGCACATCTCAACTTGCGTTCATTGAGGGCAGCACATATGCCCGGCATATTGAACCGAGGAGCAGACATGCTATCTCGGAGCAACGTCCCCTCAGAGGAGTGGATGCTCCACCCACAAACGGTTCAGAGAATCTGGGAGATCTTTGGCAGGGCAGAGGTCGACCTCTTTGCCTCAAAAGACAACTCTCATTGCCCAACTCTCATTGCCCAACTTATTTTTCGAAAAGCGAGGACGCATTAGCCCACGATTGGCCCAACCTCCTCCTGTATGCTTTCCCCCCGATTGTTCTGATCCCACAGGTAATCAGACAAGTCAGGGAACACAGACACAGAATCCTTCTGGTGGCCCCGCTCTGGAGGAACGAGCATTGGGTTTCAGAGCTGTCTCAACTGCTGACAGCAGCCCCGTGGCCTATTCCTCTGAGGCAGGACCTTTTCTCTCAGGCGAACAGGACGATTTGGCACCCCCAGCCCGAGCTGTGAGCTCTGCAGCTCTGGGCTCTCGATGGGAATCAGTAGATCTCCCTGAGAGTGTCCTGAATACTATCTCACAGGCTAGAGCCCCGTCTACGAGACGCCTCTATGCCCTTAAGTGGTCGGTCTTTTCCGCCTGGTGTACGACCCATGGCAAAGACCCAGTTTCATGTGACATATCGGTGATATTGTCCTACCTTCAAGAGCTGTTGGACAAGGGCCGCTCCCGTTCCACGCTCAAGGCCCCTTCCCCGCTCAAGGTCTATGTGGCAGCTATAGCAGCTTCCCATGCTCCTATAGCTGGACAGTAGGTGGGCCGGAACAACTTAGTTGTCCGTTTCCTGAGAGGATCCAGGAGACTCAATCCGCCCCGGTCCCCCACGGTCCTGAGAGCCCTCAAGGGCCCCCCCTTTGAGCCACTACAGTCTGCAGACTTGAAAACCCTGTCATTGAAAACCACTCTGCTACTGGCTTTAGCATCGGTTAAAGGAGTAGGTGACTTGCAGGCTCTCTGGATAAGTCCTGCCTGTCTTGAGTTTGGGCCTAACGACTCCAAAGTTGCCCTAAAACCAAGACATGGGTACGTTCCTAAGGTGCTCTACACCCTGTTTAGAGACCAGGTTATGAGGAGGAGCCTTCTGAGGAGGACCAGGAGTTTAACTTTCTCTGCCCGGTTAGGGCGCTGAAAATTTAAATAGAGCGTTCCGCCCCCGTTCAGGCGGTCGGAACAACTTTTTGTATGCTTTGGTGGCCACACCAAAGGGTCCCCGGTCACAAAGCAAAGGATATTTATGCGGCGGCCGGCTGGGCCTCGCCGTCCACTTTCATCAGGTTATATAACTTGGAAGTTTCGGCCTTGCAGGCTCGGATTCTATCTGCTTAAATGGATACGCGCCTGCTTAAGGCGGTCTATTTCTTCAGGCATTGCCTGTTTTTTCAGGTATGCTCTTGGCCCTTTCAGTAGTGCTGAGGCTGTACAAAACCGTTGGAACGATTATCCAAGGCCGGGCTGACCTCAGTGAGTTCAGCATCTTGCCACCCGCAGGGCTCACCCTGTGTATAATTGGTCCCTCTGAGCCTTTTATGCTCAAGGCCAGTTAATGTAAGTCGTTCCTCTTTCATGACACGGCGGGATTGTATTGGTTCCCCATAAGCATCTAGTGACGCAGTACGAGTGAAATATCAAAAGGGAACGTACTCGGTTACTTACGTAACCTCGGTTCCCTGAGATACGGGAATGAGTACTGCGTTCCTTGCTGTGCCATGACGCTGCACGACTCTGTGTCATCGCTTCAGTCGAATTTACCTGAGATCCTATGGCGAAATGCCCACTTATATAGCCAGATGGCCCCACCCATTCTGGCGGGCTTTGTCGCCATAGGATCGTGCAGCTCCGCTGAAG